GTTTTGTCGTTTCTTTCTTTTTCTCCTAGCATCGTCTTCTCCATCGTCGTCCCTATCACTCCTCGCCACAGAATTTTCCCTGCATCTTCTCCTTTCTTTACCCCGTGGTCGATCGCGAATGACAGATTCTTTTAGGTGCCCTGCCCGTATGAGACGCTCGATCTCGTCTTTCAAGTGCCTACAATCTTCTGTATTATGTCCGTAATCCCTATGAAATCTGCATTATTTATTCGACCTAGGTTTGGTCGGTCCCTCGAACCTGGTCGCTGGCCATGTGACTTCCTTGCTTTCCAACTTCTCTTCTATGGCCGCCAAGACTTCGCCCATCTGGGCGTTGATAGGAGTAAAATGATTATATCTCTGACCGTTTGGTAGCCGAGGTCGCCCTTGCCAGCGATCTTCTCGCCTCTCTCGGAACGAATTTTGCCCATCCCTCCTGGGCGACGGCCTTTTAAAAGATCCTCCTCTTGGGGAATTTTTCCTAGGTGATCCCCTCCTGGGCGAGCTCGTCTTTCCATTCTTCTACTCAGGTTTCACAACGTCCTCGAGCTTGGCAAACTCTGCTTCCGTTTCTTCCAAGTTAATGTACTTCTTGCATCTTTTGAGCACCTCATCGTAAGTTCGAGCAGGCGTCTTTTCCAGCGACGTTCGACATGGTCCTTGCCGTAGACTTCTAATCAATCCTCCTACTTTCACCTCGTCACCCGCTGTGGGCACCTCCAGACACACCTGATTATATCGAGCAACATATTTCCGTAAGGATTCTTTCTCGCCTTGTCTCATTGCCATCAGTGTAAGGTATGTCTTCTCCTGGGCGACCGCACTTGAGTATTGATTAGTAAGTTGTCCTGCGAAATCCTCAAAGTCTCTGATCGAACCTGGAGCCAATTGGTGGAACCAGTCAAGCGCACCTCCTCGTAAGGTCGACAAGAAGGCCCTGCAGCTGACCGGATCTGAGTATCCATGTAAGACGGACATGTTTTCGAATGCTCTCATGTGCCTCGACGGGTCGCTCGATCCATCGAAAATCAGGTTTATCTCCCGGAAACTCGCAGGTAATGGCGCAGCTAATATTTCCCTCGAGAATGGGTGTCCTCGAGCACGTCTTTCCGGCCTCCCTTCCACCTTCTCCTGCAATTGCCTAAGCTGTTCGGCCATCTTCTCCATCGCTCTGTCTCTGTACTCTCCTCCTCCGCCGTAACTCGACACGTCCTCCTCTTGTGTTCCCTGCACCGTTGTCGCCGCAGTGGCAGCCTGGGATGTCTGGTGAGTGGCTTGTTGCACAGCCTGTGCTGCCGCATCGATCACCATCCTCTGCACTTCTTCTCTCGTCATGGCCACTACTTGCTGAGCAGGGGGTTGGGGTGCTCCTCCTGTTGGCGGCATCATGGTCTGTGCCGTTGGCCCTACCTGCTGCGTTACGACTGGACCTGCTTGCAATGGAGGGAGGACTGCCGCTGATACCACCTCACGAGTTTCATGCTCTTTGCTCGTGCCTGCTCCTCCACCCAAGATCGCTGTACCCTGGGGCATCGACGTCGGGGTCACCGGTGTTTGCGAGGGTCCGGAGAACTCGGGTGGAGGTCCTGCTCCCATCGGTCTCGTCGTCGTCCACACTTCATCAAATGAAGACTGCAAATTCATTCGAGGAACTCCGTCCGCCATAGCTAAGCTCAGAACACAACTTTTCGAACAAGAGTCCCACAGACGGCGCCAATAATACAA